ACAGAGTGAGATTCCAACTCAAAAAAAAAAAAAAAAAAAACCTAAAAAAAGAACATAAGACTAAATGTTCATAACCTTGGAGTTAGCAATGGATTCTTAGATTTGACACCAAAAGTACATGCAACAAAGAAAATAAATTGGACTTCATAAAAATGAAAAACTTTTGTGCATCAAAGGACACTACCAAGAATGTGAAAAGATAATCTGTAGAATTGGATAAAATATTTGCAAATTACGCATTTGATACAAGTCTAAATATCCAGAAGATATAAAGAGCGCTTACAATTCAACAACAAAAAGAAAACAACCCAATTTTTTTAATGGGCAAAGGTTTTGAATAGACATTTCTCCAGGGAAGATAAGCAAATGGCCAACAAACACATGAAAAGATGCTCCAAATATTAATCACTAGGAAAATGCAAATCAAAACCACAAGGAGATACCACCTCACATCTACTTGGATAACTTTACCCAACAAAAAAGGCCAGGCATAATGGTTCATGCCTGTCATCCCAACGCTTTGGAAGGCTGAGGCGGGAAGATTGTTTGAACCCAAGAGTTCGAGACCAGCCTAGGCAGCATAGTGAGACCTCTTCCCTACAAAAATTAAGAAAACAATTAGCTAAGTGTAATGGTGCATGACTGTAGTCTCAACTTCTTGAGACGCTGAAGTGGAAGGATCACTTGAGCCCAGGAAGCTGAGGCTGTGGTGAGCCCTGATTGTGCACTGCACTCGGGCGTGGGCAACAGAGTGAGACTCCAACTCAAAAACAAACAAGCAAACAAAAAACAGTGCTGCTGAGTCTAGTGGGGACATTAATTGGGGCAGCAAATATTTCATCCAATTAGGCAGCTTGGCTATTGCTTAAAAGATTACACAGACTCATCATATAACTCATAAATTCCACCCCTAGAGATATACCCAAGAAAAATTAAAACGTATACACACAGAAACTTGCCCAGGAATGTATGTAAGACATTATTCATTATTCATAAAGCCAACAACCCAAATGTTCATCAATGAATGAATGGATTTCTAAAATGTAGCACATTCCTACAATGGAATATTATTCAGCCCTAAACAGGAAGCTCTGGCACAGGCTAAAACATGACCCTCAAAAATACGTGGAATACAAGAAGTCAGACACAAAAGGCCACATGTTGTCTGATTCCTTTTGTATGAAATATCCAGAATAGGTCAATCCCTAGAGACAGAAGGGAGATCAGTGGTACCAGGGGGCAGAGGAGGTGGGGAATGAGGAGTGACTATTTAATGATTATCTTCCTGAAGTGATGAAAGCGTGTTGAAACCCGACAGAGATGGCAGCTGTGCTACATTGTGAATACACAAAATGCCACCAAATTGCACTGTACGCTTTAAGGTGGTTACTTGCCTGTTACATGAATTTCACCTCAATTTATTTTATAAATTGACAGAAAGAAAACCGACACCAGAAAATACAGCTCCGGCACGTGTCTTTGGGTCCCTGAAGATCTGAGTAAGAGGCTTTGCCTGTGAGAGCTGGAAAGTCTCTGCAGTCAGCGCAGCTTCAGAGGGAAGGTAGGATGCAGGATGCCATGCTCGGAATGTCTGTGTCCCTGCAGGGTCCATGGGGAAGCTGAATCCCCATGTGACGGTGCTGAGAGGTGGAGCCTTGGTAGGTGATTGAAGAGGGAGGGCTCCTCCCTGGTGAACGAGATTAAAGTCCTGGATCTTCCAGGAGGCAGCAACCAGCTGTCCACCAAGATGCCATTAATGACCCAACCTGGAAGTGTCCTGCCATCACTTGGCCCTGCCCTTGGTCCTTATACAAGAGGCTTCACACGGGGACCTCCTGCCCATGAGGCGCCATCATGGAAGCAGAGAGCGGCCCTCACCAGTCATGATCCTGCTGACCCCTTGAGCTTGGGCTTCTCAGCCTCCAGAACTGGGAGAAATAAATTCCTTCTGTTTATAAATTGTCTGGCGCCCGCTATTTTGTTAGAGCAGCAGGAACAGACTAAGGCACAAGGTGTCTCCGGGAACAGTAAGGGGCCAGGGCTCAGGGGACTCAAATCCAGGCCTGGACACACCTCAGCTGGGAAATGGCTGGAAGTCAGGCTGTCCCAGACCCTACCACTCTCCAGGGCACAAAGCCAGCAGCCTGCCACCAGCCCCATCACTCTCATCGTCTGGGACCCCGGCTCTGGGGGGGAATTACCTGGTGAGCCACCCCAAGGAGGAGCCCACGTGGCCAGCACCAGAGGCCTCCTGCCCACAGCCACGCAGATGAGCCTGAGGTGAACCCGGCTGACCGGCTGACGGCTAAGCCGCCGAGCTCTGACTGTCAGGGTGGCTTGTGACGTGGGCGTGGCTATACTGCTGCATAGAAAACTACCCCAGCCCCGAGCAGCTCAAAGGAACAAATATCGATGGTGTCCCACGGCGCCTCAGGGTCGGGGCCCACAAGTGGCTTGGAGGGCTCTGGCCTGGGCTCTCCCAGGAGGCAGCCACCAGCCGTCCATCAAGATGGAGGCCGCTATGCCGTTAATGACCCAACCTGGAAGTGACCTGCCGTCCCTTGGCCCTGCCCTTGGTCACTCTGACCAACCCAGTACGGTGCCGGAGGCGGCAACACGGGGCGCTCCAGGGTCTGGCTACCACGCCACCTCCCGTGGCAGTAACTGATGTGACCTCGCCCCACCTGCCCTCAGCCTCCCACCCCCTTCCTGGCTCTCCCAGGGGGTCCTCCCTGCACCCTTCCCAAGGTTCGGGCCACGCCGCCCAAAACACACCCACATCTTCCCCCAGGACTCTCGGGCTCCTCTCCCAGCTGTCGTGTGCCCTTGGGCAGCAGGAGACCAGTGGCTCGCTGGGCTCAGGCCACCGTCACTCCCGGAAAGCTCACCTCACACAGGTTACTTAGGCCCCCCGCACCACGCTCTCCCCCCATGGACCAGGGGTGGTCCCGGCCTCCTCCTTAGAGGCTGTTGTGAGAATGGAGGCAGCGTGGAAGCCTGGGAGCCCCGGGTGTCTGCGTCGACCACGTTATCCCCTAAATGCTGCTGCGCCTAATCACCCCGCCGCCCGGCCATCTTGGCCGGTCCTCCTGCTCTCACCAGGGCAGCCCCACGGCCTCTGCAACGGTGTCCCCCCACGACCCCTCTCCCCCATGAGGGGCAGCCAGAGCGAAAACCCAAGTGAGGCCAGCCCCTCCCGGGTGAGGGACAAGCCCTGCTACCCCCGCACACTCGCCTGTCCGGGCCCTCCACTGACCCCTCGCTGTCCCTCTGCCTGGGGCTCAGACTCCTGAGATCAGAGGCCACCTGCTCCAGGAAATCTTCCCTGACTACAACCCCACATCCCTCCACCTGGTCAGGCCATCGCATCGCCGAGTCCCCTCTTATACGCAGACCCCAGGAGAGAGGGACAGCGACGCTCAGGACAGGGCCCGCCCGCAGGAGGTGCTGAATGCATGAGTGGAAGAGTGAGAGTAAATGAAGGGGTGAAGGAGCGAGTGCATACATGAGCAAAGGAATGAGTGAGTGAATAGGCGAAGGAACGAGTGGGTGAACGAGTGAATGAGCAAGTCCGTGATGAATGAATGAGTGGCCCAAGGGCCTCCCATCCTCCTTGCCTCTGCCCG